GTTTGAACGACCTGGGCCCGCTTGGTGGAGGGGTGGTTCTGGGGGACCCGCGGATCTCTCCCTCAAGGCTTCCCCGCCCCCCACCTCGAACTACCAGCCACCTCCCGGGGCTGGGGAGCCCTGACCGAACCGGGCGGGGTCGGGGGCTGGGGTGGAGTGGGTGGGCGGGTAGGTGGGGCGCGCCTTGCGGGGATCCCCTGAAATTGTGCTCTGCAGACCTGGCTGGTAGAACAAAGAGCTAACTTTTCAAAGAAGGTTTCTCCAATGGAGGGTGGGGTTGGCTGAGTTCTGGGGAAGCCGAGGAAAGGGGGAGGTGTCGCCGGGGAGAGGAGGGTGGCCTTCTGAAAATGCGCTGTCCCTGGGGACCCCTGGGAGGCCCCCTGTGCTGGACTCGTTCATCTGGCTGCCATTACACTTTCCGAGGGGGTGGCAGCTGGAGCTAGCTGTTGCCAACACGCTTTGGGGTAGGGTCCTGTCCTCCTGGAAGCGCTGCCCCCCCACCCACCAGGCTCCACGTCCAAATGTCCCTTCCTTTCGGTCCACACTGGCAGGAGTGGGGGGACTGCAAGGGAGAGAGGGGCGCGGGTTTTGTTCCGCAGAGGATACTTCACTGGGTCGGTCGTGCTCCCCTCCCCCCTGGGGGTTGGCACTTCCTCCGCGACCTTTGCCCCCTGAGTCAGGGTGAGGAGGCCGCGCTGGAAAGGTTCAGAGACGCTGCTGCACTTGCTCTCGGGGGAAGGGGAGGTAGGGGAGTTAGGGCTGGGGCTGTTTCGCTGTCCTGCACTTGACAGGGGAAGGGGAGACAGACCCGGGCACCGGGGTGACCCAGCCAGCCTCGGGCGGTGGAGAAGCCACCTGGGTGCAGGGATCTTGGTCCCTGGAGGGAGGGATTTTAGGAGGAATCTGGAATCCCCGGGCACCTCTTCTGTGTAGGCTGGAAGGGTTGGCAGCTGGGAGTTGTAGTTTTGATCCCCCCCCTTAGGAATGCGCCTGGGCCTCAGTATCCCCATTTGGTTGGGTGTGATGGCACCTTTGCCTGGCAGAGGGTGTTGTCTAGGCTGTGCCCATCTTGTCTTTCCTTGGGAAGACCTTTGATGCCCTGTGTCAGAGAGGAGAGAGCCGGGACCTGCAGGTCACCCTCCCTAGCTGTACTTTTCCTCTGGGAAGTAGAAGTGGGTGATTCCTCCTTTTTTTTCAAACAGTCTTGCTGTGTAGTTCAGGCTGGCCTTGAACTCACTTTGTAGCCCAGGCTGGCCACAAACTCTGGGTATTCTCCTGCCTCAGCCTCCTGAGTGCTGGGATTACAGGCGTGTCCCACCATGCCTGGCACCGTCCGATTTTAGAACTCTCCCACTCCCAGGGAGTGTTGCTAGAAAGACCTGTCCCCTCCTCCTGTCCTGAGCCAAGGGCTTGGAATCTCCAGATGTCAGGCCTGTTCCTTGCCACCCCTGCGGGACAGGGAGGGCAGGCACCGGAATAGGGAGCAAGTGCCTGCGGGCTGCTGGGCTGAGACAGAAGCAGGGACTGGTCTGCCCCTTAGCACTGTCACTACCAGGCTCCTGGAGGCTTCCTGTGTGCAGGCTGGAGGCTCAACTCAGCCTTGGCCTGTCTTGGCCATCTGCTTGTGGTAGGAGCCTGGGCAGGAGCTGTGTCCTTGGTCTTTTCTCCTCCCTAAGCCTTATCTCCCAAAGGCATCAGTGGGTAGAAGCCTTGTCACCTCTGAAGGCCACCCCACCCTGGGGAAGGGGACATGGGAACCCAGCCTGCCATAGTATTTAAGTGTATCTTTTGCTCTGTTGTTCAAGGAAGGACATGGAGGTTTGCTTCCCCAGAGGGCTTCTGGGATTCCAGCAGGGGGAGAAACAGGGTGACCTCATTCACTCCTTCATTCAGCAGGTATTTATTGAGCACCTACTTTGTGAGCCTGCTTTGCATCTGGGGAACTGTGCCATTAAGAGTCCTGCTGCCCCTGGCTTCTGAGAGCAGGTGGAGATGAACAGGAAGGGCTGGGGTGGTTTGGTCCCAGTTCTGGAATCATCTGAGAGCTGCTGAGACCCTTTATGGGGTCCTCTTCCACCTTCCAGCCCATGTGAATTCAGACCCAGGGCTCAAGCTCAGCTCTTCAACTCCCCAGATAGCAAAAAGGACTTTCACTTCCACTGATTAGTGGGGAAGGTGGGCCCCACACTCTCTTGACGTCCTGGAGGAAAACTCAGGGCCTGGGTTTTTGCAGGTCGGTGCTGGGGGAGCTGGGGTGCACAGAATAATACTGACTTCCTGAGCTGGTGGGGGGTGACACACACCTGGCATCCCACTCTGGGAGGCAGAGGCAGGAGGATTGAAAGTTCAGTCTCAGCGTGGGCAACTTGGTGTCTTGGCAAGACTGTGTCCCCGCATGGGCATCATAAAAAAGTGCTGGGGCTGGAGCTTGGTGTGAGGGCGTGAGTTCCGTCTCCAATACAGAAAACAAAAGAACAAAACCCTGGAGTTTGTGGGGGTCTAGCAAAGATCTATGCTTTTGTTTTTGGCAAGATCTGTCTTTTTTGTTGTATTTTAAGACAGGGTCATGCTATGGAGTCCAGTAGTCCAGGCTTGCCTCAAATTCAAATCGATTCTCCTGCCTCTGCCTCCTGAGTGCTAGGATTATAAGCCTGTGCCACTGTGCCTACTAGCAAGATCTGTGCCTTCAAGCCAGTAGCTCAGGCCCAGAGAGCTGAGCCGGGTGACTGCCAGGGTGGGGCTGGCACTGCCTCTGAGGAGGAAAAAAAAAGCCCAGGGCAACAGGAAGGGAGGTGAATGAAGGTCCCGTGCTCCAAGGCTGAGTCACAGCCACCCCAGGCGGGGCCCCAGGCGGTAGGCACTGTCCCCTGAGGCCCTGTGCCCCCTGCAGAGCTGGGCAGGGGCAGCCTAGACCCTTTCGGGCTCTGTCCTCTGCCCTCTGTTGGGTGGGTTTTCCATAGAGGGATTTTGGGCAGATGAAGGGAGCGAGAGGGCAGCCTTCCTGAGTGGCTTCTCCCTGGGGCTGTTTGCTTCGCTCTCCTGAGTCTTAAGTCCCAGGAGTATTTACCTGGAGTCTTCTCTGAGGTGCTTTTTCTTTCTCTAAAGATGTGGTGAGCCTCCTGCCTCAGCCTCCTGTGTGCTAGGATGGCAGTCATGCGTCACCACACCCAACTTGCTTAGGGGGTTAGGGAAAGGTGACAGAGGCAGGAGCTGCTGGGTTTCCTGGCGTCATGGGAGCCGGAGCTGCTGAACGTCTGTGCCCACCAGGGTGCCTTGCACAGTGGTTTTAGTTCCACTGTCCAGATGTGGAGACGGAGCTCAGCTGCCGCCCTGCCGGCCCTTGGTCCCTGTTCTGGGACAGACCGAGCACTGTCGTTCCCGCCCCATCCTCCCTGTGTCTCAGAGTACGTGGTGTGGACTCCTCTCCCGCCCTGTGCAGGGGTCCTGTGGGGCCCCTGGCATTGACCTGCACCCCTGCCCTGTCGGTAGCCTCCATCCCCACCCCCACAGTTGGTCCGGGGCAGGCCTGGCCATCTGCTGGGTGGGGGTGTCCGTCTCCCCCGCATGTCTGGGCCTGGAGGTCCCCGGACGGCGCGCTCCCACGACTGTGTGCAAAGTGGGTCACGGTCTGGATTCCAAGAATGTTTTTCCTGGCTGCCCCTTTGGGGTGGGGGAGGCGGGGCCCAGCGGTCCTCCTGGGCAGTCACGGGGGAGGAGCTGTCACTTCGGGGGGCCTAGATGGGCAGGGACCACCCCGCTTCCGCTTTCCCTGTGCACCATGGAGCGGGGCGGCAGCTGGGGACTGGGCCCTGTTCCTTGACTCCTAGCTGCCTTCTTCCACCCTGAGGCTTTTCCTCAGGTCTCTAGATGGGAAAGCACCCCATGTGCAGGATGGCTCACCCCTGAAAGCGCCTGGTGGGCCCTGGCTGAGGTGGCCGCTGTGAGGCCAGCCAGGTCTCAGAACCGATTGGCAAAGCACTGCCTCCAGGGTCCTCGTCCCTCCCAAGCCTCAGCTGTGCCCAGGACAGGGGCAGGAACTGGAACAGAGACGGGACAGCTTTCCGGTCACTGTCACAGATGCAGCCCTGAGGGCTTGGGGCTGAATTGATGTCTGCTTTTCTTTTCTTTTTTTTTTAAACCGGGGATCGAACTCATGACCTTGTGCTTGTGAAGCAGGCGCAGTGGCACTGAGCTACATCCCGGTCCCGGTGTCTGCTTTGCGTGAATTTTCCAGAGCCTGATGTGGCTTTGCTCAGGGTGGGGTCCCCTCTCAAATCACCTTCTCTCTGCCCCTCCCTCCCTCCGCCTGCACCCAGCGCCTGACGCTGGGCGGTGCCAGCTGCTGTCTGGGCACTGGCCAAGGTCATGCATGCAGCTTTGACTGATGACCCCTTGGGCTCAGCAGGGCCCAGGATGCTGGGCGCTGCCCTCCTGTTTCCACCCACATGTGGGTGCAGGGCCTGGACGCCCACCCCGCTCCTGGTCAGGGGTCCCAAGGGAAGGAGGAGGCGCCTGCGCAGGGCGAGCCGGGTCGTGGGGGGTCCGTGCACACGCGGGATCCGGAGCTGGGGGCGCTTGGGGGCTGGGCCGTCCTCTTCCCGGCGGTGGGGTTGGAGAGCTGCCCCTTCCTGCCGCTCCTCCGCTCTTAGCAACCTGAGCGACGCTCTGCATGAGCAATGAGAGGCTGGCGGCGAAGCCGAAGCCGACCTGGGGGCTCCCCTCGGCCGCCGGGCCTGCCTCCTCCCATCCCGCCCTCCCTGTCGCCGCCGCGCCTGATGGATGTCCCCTGTGTCTTATCCGCCTGCAGTTCTGGCATAAAGCATGCTTCCACTGCGAGACCTGCAAGATGACCCTGAACATGAAGAACTACAAGGGCTACGAGAAGAAACCCTACTGCAACGCGTGAGTGGCGCCCTCCCCCGCTCCCTCGCCCGCTCCCTTCCTTTCCCTCTGGAGAGCCGTCAGGCCACCCTGCGGGCACTTGCGCCCTGCTCCCTGTGTCACAATCCTGTGTCTTCACAACAGCTGGGGGCCGCAAGGGCTTTTCCTGTCTGTTTTACCGATGATGAGGAAACTGAGGCGTAGGGAGGGGACTTTGTGAAGATTGTGCGGCCGGCCGCGTGTCTGCCCGGCTGACTTTGGGATCCGGACGCTCCCCCTGGGCTTCTCTTCCCTCGTGTTTCTCCTTCTGTCCGCCGGGGCTGCCCCTTTGGCAACCCCCGGGCTGTGTGATTCCTCGTACCACCTGCTGCGTGGGTGCTGCGGGTCAGGCGCAGGATCAGTGTTCGGATGAATTGGGGTCTGATTTGCATCTAGCCTTTGGCTTCCCCTTCGGAGCATGGAAAAAGAGCAGGGCAATTGCTTGTGTGCCAAGGCCTGGGGATATTGGGTGAATTCTCAGACAGGAGGCCTTTGGAGCCAGAGTTCAGGCAGGAAGGGAAATTCAGGACTGGTCCCAGACGGGTTGGGACTCAGTCACTTCCAGTGTCCTGTACCCGAGCCTCACCTCGAGGACTTGGAACGATGTCACCCACTTACTGTCTGCCTGTGCCAGCTGCCGGGAGGCAGTGAATGTTGTCGTTTCTGAAGGACTGGGCTCTGGGCAGGTGTCCTGGGTAGAGGGAAGGTAGAGAGAAGGCCACCTCTGTGCTGCTGCTGTTCCTGTTCCACCAGCTGCCCCTGGCTGCAAACCCCAGCCCCTCCCAGCCCCAAGGGAAATGGGACATTCTTTGAATTCTTATGGGCCTACACAAGCCCTGACTCTCAGCCACTTTTTCCCTCCTTTGGGGATCCGGGTGGGGTTCAGAGAAGCCCACTTAACTCCTTAGCTGCTGGATGCTGTGGACCAGGGTCGGGAGCAGAGGGTGGCAGGAGCTCAGCGCATCTTCCTGTTGCTTCCTGGGATTCCAGTGGCCTAGAACTCAGTGAGCGCTGAGAGTTGGAGAAGGGTTACCAGGCCTGTCCTTGTTTTCTTTGCATTTCTCAGCTTTGTGCTAAGGTCCTGGCTTGCTCTGTCTCACTGTCATCTTCTGGGGAGCTCAGCAGCAAGTGAGGGTTCGGGGGCTGAAGGTCCCATCTCCTGGTGTCCAGCCAGAGGAGCAGTGTGACCCTTCTGCTTTTCCGACAAACCCCCTGGCCTCTGGCCCTCGCCTGGCTGAGAGGGGGAGCTTGGCAGCTGTGAGCCAGCTGTGGGGCAGCCGGCCAGAGGTGGGTCCATTCGCTGCTCCTTCCGCACCGCCTGAGCCTTGGTTTCCCCGCAGGTAAAAATCCCTACCCAGGGACGCCGGACCCTGAGCCAGAGGACCTGCTATGTGCCAGGCGCTTGCTGACCTTTCCTCTTGGGTTTTTCCCCCTTGCTGTGCTTCTGGAAATGAACCCAGGGCCTTGTCCATGCTGGGCAAGCCCTTGACCACTGAGCCACGCCCCAGACCCTCCCATCCGGTCTCATTTTTATTTTATTTTATTTTGGTACCAGGGATTGAACTCGGGCCCTTGTGCTTGCGAGGCAGGTGGCAGAACCACTGAACCAAATCCCTGGCCCCTTATTTTATTTTGGGTTTTTGAGGTGGGTACCAGAACCACTGAGCTAAATCCCCGGCCCTTATTTTGGTTTTTTGAGACAGGGTCTCAGTATGTAGTTTAGGCTCATCTCGAACTTGCAGTGATCCTCCTGCCTCAGCCTCCTGAGTGCCCCTCCTGTTTTCTGCCTGCCTCTGGCCCCGTCCTTCAGGGACAGTCAGCTTCCTGAATCCTGGGTGTCCAGGTAGGGCTGTCTCCTGTGCCCATCCTCCCATGCGGGCACCCCTGTCCCTCTGCAGGCCCCACAGGTGCAGGTGGTTGGTATAATGGCGCT